CTGCTAAGCTCCCACCCATGAATGTCCCGTGCCCTGGGTGTATACACAGTCCCGGTATGGGACAAATTAACAGGAAAGGTGAAACTTTTGGAGGCATCCTGAAGAATATGGTAACCTGTAAAGATGATCCTAGGAGAGGATGGTCTTTTGCCCCTCCGGTTACAGAAATACTAGAAGTTTTGAACCTTAGTCTCACCTCAATTACATCCTGTGGTATGCATAAAAACAAATGGTCTTTCTTTGCCCTGAACCCCTCAGCACAGTGCTTCTAAAATGTATAGAATTTCCCCAAGAGACAGAGACTTATTATTCGAAACCAGTACCTTTCAACCATGCCAGAATTTATGCTAATATGTGACTGTTGGTGGGGGTTCTCACGGGGACCAGCATGGAGCCTGGCAGAAAGACTACTTCATGATTAGAGGGCTGGGATTTTAAGACCCATCCTCTATCTCTGGGGAGTGCAGGGGGACTAGAAGTTGATCACTTACGGCCAGTGCTTGGCATCAATCATGCCTATGTAATGAAACTTCCATTAAGAGTCCTGAACATCAGGGCAATTCCTGATTCCATTTAATTGTAGGGTGGTGGACTCACTGTGGACATGGGAGTCGGAAGGCTGACCTCCATGTTTGTCCCTCTTTCCCTTAGCTGCTCCTCAGTTGCATTATGACACCAAAAAGATAAACCTAAGTAGTGTGTTCTGAGTTCTGAGTTAATTATCAAAATTACCAAACCTAAGAGGAGGGTGTGAGAATCTTGGGTAGTGAGTGGGTACAGGTAGCCCAAGATTTGGAAGTGACATCTGAAATGGGGGCAGTGATAGGGGACACTGAGCCTTTAACTTGTGGGATCTGATACTAATCCTTAGTAAATAGTTTTAGAATTGAACTGATTTCTTGGACACGTAAGTGGTGTCACAGAAATAACAAGCTACACAGCCCCTCTGAAGCTGCAAAGGATCAAAAGCTCCAGAGAAACAGCCTTGTCACCCTGACTAGGGTCAGGTGCTCCTTCAGACAGATGTCCAGAGCCTGCAGGAAATCAGACTCCTCTCTTAAATACTTGAAACCAGAGTAGTTGGTCTACTATAATGAGGATTTTAAAATTCAATCCCCTCTTATTGCTCGTGCAGATCTGAAATGATTTGACCAGATGGCGGGTACTCTGTAATTCTTGGATTGCTCTCATCAGTTGATGATTTAGATTTTTTTCTCTTTTCCACCCCTCACATGAACGTGTTCTTGTACAGGCTTCCTGCATGCCCCCATCGACTGGGCTCTAGCACCAATAGTTCAAGGATTCTCACAGCTTCTTTGAAGTCAAATTGGGTCAATAAGAAGCTTCAGGTTGAGAGTGGCTGTGCTTTCTTGAGCCCAGAGGGGCTGATGGGCAGCACTGACAAACAGGAAGGACGGGTGGCCATTGTCCAGTGTCCTCCTCACCTCCACTTCTCCTTCAAGTCACCAAAGGGAGCAAAGATGTATTTCTTTTAATAACAACATACTGAATATGTCCTGTATGTCAGGTCCTTTGAGAAACAGCTTACACACACACACATACACACACTCACATTCTTACAAACACATACACACATTCACACACATACTCACATACACTCACATTCTTACACATACATACTCATACTCACATTTTTACAAACACATACACACACACTCACACATTCACACACATACACACACACTCATACTTTGCAATACCACTTCTGTGTAGTTCTTATTTCCATTCCAATTTTCAGATGAGATGTTAGAGATTCTGAGCATCCTGAGCGCCCACAGCTCAGAGAAAGCCACAGTCACGTCCAGCGTCATAAAACTGCCCCAGCTAACTTCCCCCATAGACTCCTCAGCACAAGAGAAGGCCTGGCCTTACCATACCAAGAGCCTTTTGATGTTTCTGTATTGTCTGTGAACCTATAAGCTATGAGGCACAAAGGGTTCATGTCCAATTTGTTCCTTAGGAAGATGTCGTGGCACAGTATTTAAGCTGGGCTTAAGGGTGTCTGAATTTTGACAGTACTACTTATTGGTTGTTTGTCTGAATAATCTCTTCTTGCTGTAAATGAGTTTTGTCTGTAAAAGTTAGGATAGCTATAGCAATTACCCTCAAAGGGTGTCTGTCAGAGTCAATGCTTAGTAAATGTGAGCTATTTATCTCTGGCACAAGGTGGGATCTCAGAAAATGCTCAGGGAAGATAAAACTATAGCATCTGGCTGTAATCAGTGTTCCATAATAACAAGCACCCCTCAGCACAGTGCTTCTAAAATGTATAGAATTTCCCTAAGTGACAGAGACTTTTATTATTCAAAACCAGTACCTTTCAACCATGCCAGAATTTATGCTAATATGTGACTGTTGGTGGGGATTCTCATGGGGATCAGCATGGAGCCTGGTCACCAGAAACTGTTTCTTTCACACACTCACACTCACATATACTCACACATACACTGACACACTCACACACTCACAAGCACAAAATTCTGGAGTCTAGGAGTCCTCAGCTCTAGGACAAATGTCTCAGTTCCCTGCCCAGAACCAAAAGGACCTGCCAGCAAACAGCTTTCCCTGCTTGCTTATGAACAGCTGACACTGAATCCACACTCAAATGCTTGCTGTGGTTCTGTTAGGTGAGGCAGATCCCAAAATAAATCAAAGAAAGAGAGACAGGAAAATCACTTCCAGGAACAAGCAACTCCCAGTGAGGATACTGACAGTAATAATGGTGGCAGGCAGACTCCAGGGATGAGACCTGTAGCTGTCTCAGGGCTATGTGGCTGAATCCGTTCCCACCTGGCCCAGTGGGAAGACCTAAAAGTCGTATGTGTCAGGCCGCAGTAGGCAGTCTGGCAATCTGCCTTCCAATAAGCCTAGGCCATAGCCCAAACATCTCATATACCCTAGGAATCTTCCCTTTGAGGCAAAAGAAAATCAGAGGTACAACCTTCACATCAAAAACCAAAAGTCCTTTCAACAGAAGGGCAGAACTGGTTGGCTGAGATAGGGTCAACAATCATCAACCTACCCTTGTCTTCAACATCCCCAAACAGTGGCCACCATGTTCCCATGTCTGCCTCTGGCTCTCAAGCAGGGGACACTCTACTAAACATTCCGTTTGTGTTCTTCCCTGCTCCCTCATCAAAACTGCTATTGAAGGAGAAGGGTAGAGGATCTGACAACCATGGAAGTCTTTCCTTCACATCCTAAGTCCCCTTCCTCTGGTAATCTTACCAGAAAAAGGTTACATGTTCATGCTCCCTCAGTCGTGTCCAATTCCACAAGTAGACTAAAGATGTGTACAAGTGGGAACTTATCTCTGAAAACCAGACTAAGCCAAGTGACACACTGGGTAGGGGACTTTGAATCTGCAATATGCTTTAGTGGCAACAGCCTTTGCAGAAGCTTTAAGAGAATTTTGTACAGAAGAGTCCACAAGGAGCTCTTGAGAAACTACAAGCTAGAGGGTGTTGTCAAAGGAGCATCAGTTCCAATGTAAGATGAGTGCTTCTCTCTAGTACCCCAGCTTGCTCAGAGCTCGCTCCTCACTTCACCTCTGGCTCTTCCTTCCAAAGAATACATGTAGGGGCTCTTGAGCCACTAGCAGCAGTGCCACTGCCAGAGGGCTGGGCATGGCTCAAGGTCTGAAATATGAGCACTGTTCTGCTTGCAGTGCAGACCAAGGGCTTGAAGGGGACTGACCTAGACAAAGGGGCGGAAGTAGAAGTAGGACCCAGAACATCAGCCTCCATCTACTCCACATGCTTGCCACTTTACAAGACCACCAGTAACCCTACATAAAGCCAGAGGACCACAGCCACATCTTCTACCTCCCCGCTCCTGAGAGCCTCTCCAAGCTATTCCTCAAAGACTGAATTCTGTTCTCAGGGAAGCTGAGAGAGGACAGGCATAGTTGGGCCTGCTGAATCCAATACCTCTGTTATACCTCTGTTCTTAAACTTTTCTCTGCTTAAGCCACGAGCTCTCTCTTGGCTTCTTTGGGGCTTCATCAGTCTTCTTCAGCAGCTCCTACCCACATGCAAGCCTAGCAGGAGTGATATTGCTGGGTGGCACAGCAATGCTATCCCTGGCAGCACAGTAGCAACGGGGGCTGCAAGGACATGGTGATGAATATCAGCAAGGACCTGAGGAAGCTATGTAATGGCTGCTGCCAGAACTTGCCATCCACAATACATGCCACAATACAGAACACGAGTTGCCTGCACCTGAAAAAAGGCTCAGTGTTGGCAAAGCAGGCTCCAGCCAAAGACAGTTGGAGTTGGGAATACCGGATCAAGGCTCTGAGGTCCATGACATTTGACATCAAGTGAATAACACAACAAGTCATCTAACCTTTTGAGCCTCAGTATTTCTACTAGAAGATAAAGACAGTAATAATTCTATTCCTGTGAAAATTGAACATGGTGTATACAAGGAACTTAGCAGTGGGCCTGAGTATAGTAAACATTTCACAACTGCAGGCCATTGTCATTAATACTTGAAATCCTGGACTCAGAGTCATAAAGGGGTTAGAAAGTTGTTCCCTCTGAAGATGCCTCAGTTATGATCAGGCAAGGACCAGCCCCCCCCCCTTTTTTTTTCTTGACACAGGTTCCTTTAACAGAACATTCAGGCCTAACACCAGTGATCAGGACTCTCCTATGAACACTATTTCAGCAGCACTGAGCCAAGCAGCAGAGCCCAAAATAGCATTTGCAGAGCAAGGCACATGCCACTGCCTCTCCTGTGCTTCACAAAGTTTTCTATCACTTGCTCAGGAAGCATGGCCACCCACCACAGACCTCCCTTCCAGGGCACTCATACACCACATACTGCTCTGCTGGAGAATGGAGGTCCCCAAACCCCATGGCACTGCAGCTACCACTGTGATGGTCACCATGAGAATGCCTGCTCCCAACCTTCAAGAACAAAGGGCATTTGTGGTTTTAATTCAGTGTTTCTACAGAGCAGCGCAAGTCTGGTACCTGGTTGAAGAGTCTGCCACTCTTGGGTTGAGTGAAACACCTCTAGGACCTCGGTGTCTAGCTCCTCCTCTCTTCTGGTTTCCTTTGTATCTGATTCCTTGTGGATGCTCTTCTCTGGGTTGGTGAGCGCAAAATTATTCTGAGAAAAGAAAATAGTGTGTGACCAACCACTACAAGAAGGCAAGAAGAAAGAAGCAGCTTGAGGTCTCCCTGGATGCCCCTCCTCATCTTCAGATACGTTTCAACACCTGCAATTCCTCTCACAAGGTCAGCCGCAGCACCAGCACATGAGGCAAAATGGTTAAACAAACACAGTATACTTTTGGGTATATATAGTATTTTTGTACATGTACCACCAGAGATTCCATACTCTCTTGAAGGGGTTAAGAAAATACTAGGGAGAGGGTTAGCACTGTTTTTACTTCCTATTTAACTGCTTGAAGTAAACAGGCTAGTGGCTGAGTTCTAATTGATTCCCAAGTAGTTTGGCAAATTCCCTGGAGATCATTAGGGCATAAATGTTCTGAAACATTCCAAACCATGGAATAAAAGTTACAAGTGGGAATGTGGGATTCCAACTGGGCCAAAGTAAGAACATATCCCAATTGGAAACTGCTTACCAAACTTGCTTCTCCCTATGTCTTGGACATCAAAGACAGGAAGATGGAGTCCATGAAGCACTCTGAGCTTAGGAGGCTGGGAACGTGAACACCACGTGTTGTTCACTGTTTCTTCCTGGTCTCCCTATTGTTTAATGTTTATTTCTATTTTATGTGTATATGAACCCAGGGAAGTTGCCTCTGGGACAGTAGGAGGAGCCATACTAGCACAGGCACACAGGAGGCGAACCCAGCCCATGCGCCCCACTGCCCTTCATTACTCTTCATCCACTTCCCAACTCCTACGCTAACAGTGTACTTCTTAGAGTCTTCCTCTGAGCCACACCTGTGTGGAGTACTTTAAATAAACCTCATTTTGATTTCTCAACAATTCTAACCCTGCCTGGGTGGTATTCCATGCAAGTACTTCCTCGAGTACTATCCCAGCACTAGAAAGGAACTGTCGCCTGCCTGTGTCTCGTAGTGCCTGATCTTTAATTAGCTGTCAGAGAAAGGGTTAAGGTGTTAAGGTGTTGCTGATGACAATACAGAGCCTCTCCAAGAATTTTCACATTTAACAAGAAATAAAAGCATGAAATTTAGGTGGCAGAATTTCACACCTTGTTAAGAGCCAGAAAGGAAAATATCTTAGGCAAAAGGACGCTCTTAAATCATTTCATGAATTAATGAGAACACTGACTACAGCATAGTGGTAAAGAACTGGAGCTCCCTGTCAGATAGCACAAGTTCAAATACCATTGTTTGTGTGACTCTGGGCAAGTTATTTAACTTTTGAAGGATAGGTCTTTAGTTCATATACTGTAAGCCACTAGCTCTGAGAACATGGCACCTGTCATCACCACCACCACCGCCGCTATGGCCACCACCACCATCACCACCTTACTTATAAAAGCAATCGAAGCTTCTATGTCAGAGAAGTCTGTGCTATGACAACTTAGAGTAACTACACAGTACAGTTTCACTCAGAACAGGTTGAGGGGAGGTTACTCTGTGCCCCAGGAGTTCAGCCTAGCTCAAATTCCTCTTAGCTATTCAATTTTAAGTCTGCATAAAAATGAATACAAAAGGTGGGGGGCGGAGCTAGAGAGATGGCTCAGTGGTGAAAAGTACTGGCTACTCTTCCAGAAGACCCTGGTTCAATTCCCAGCACCCACATGGCACCTCACAACCATCTTTAACTCCAGTCCCAGGGGATCCAGAGCATGCTTCTGGCTTCCATAGGCACTGCACATACACTGTGCATAGACATACATGCAGGCAAAGCATTCATGTACATAAAATTAATAAAAATAATGTTTTTAAAGAAAAATAGACATTGTCTGTGATGATGAGTGTGATCCACAGTGCACATCTGTAAGCAGAGCACTTGGGAGCTGATGGGTGTGACCCAGTGTACATCTGTAAGCACAGCACTTGAGAGCTGATGGGTGTGATCCACAGTGCACATCTGTAAGCAGAGCACTTGAGAGCTGATGTGACCCACAGTGCACATCTGTAACCACAGCACTTGGGAGCTGATGGGTGTGATCCACAGTGCACATCTGTAAGCAGAGCACTTGAGAGCTGAAGTGACATCAAGGGTCAGGAGAGCTCAAGTCTAGCCTCAGTTATATAAGCAAGTGCAAGGCCAGTCTACACTATATAAAAGCCTGCCAATGGGAAAAGGAAGAAGGGTAAGGAGAGAGAAAGAGAAATAGAAAGAAGGAGAAATAAGAGACACAAGAAGAGAGAGAGAATATGAATTAACAGAATAGCAGGTGTGTTTGTGAGACTACAGAAGAGAACTTGTCAGGAGGATGTGACTATCCAGGACTTCTTTTTTTTTTTTCCTTTTTTTGGTTTTTCGAGACAGGGTTTCTCTCAAGTGCTGGGATTAAAGGTGTCCGCCACCACTGCCCGGCCATCCAGGACTTCTAAGTACCAAGTCTCCTGTGGTGGGTACTGGGTCCATCCTATGCCCAAGACCTAGTTCACAAGAGCTGAGTGAATGTGTGAGTGAATGAATGAATGAATGAATGAATCATAATTCATAGGCAGGTGTGACTTTGGGGTTTTAGACAAACCCTAATCCCTGAGCCTTCTGCAGACAGGTAGCAGTATCATATTTTAGAATACAGTCTACTTTATCTGCTAAGTATCCAGAACTTACATATGCTAGACCAAGCCACGCTGACCAGTCCCTGACCAAAACTGCTAGACCACAGGATTAGAACAATATTAATAAACATTTCCTCAGTGCTGTGTAGATCAAATGCCTCCAGGAGCCAGGCAGAAATAGGTGAAGATGAGTGAAGTGGGCCAGATGAATGCAACAGGGAGCACTGGGCCTGTGGGGGGCAACCTTCCCACCTTCGAGGTGGAAAAAGTGCTAATTAAGGTCAAAGTCTACCACTGACTAGATAGCCTTCTGGGACTCCATGAATAATGGGGAACTCCCTCATTAACAGAGTTTCTCCTTCTCTGATCTTGTCTGGGATTTTCTAAGCTCCCACACTTGTCTTGAGGAATGGCACATAGCCTCAATTGTTTTATTCGATCAATTTCCTTTCTTCTGAAAAAAACCTGTTCAGTCAGCACCTAAGACTCCTGAAATGCTTCCCCATGCTAATGAGGTAATGCCAGGAACCCTAAGTCCCCTGGCCAGCAGCCTTTGCCTATCCTGGAAGTCCCTACCCTCAGTCCCCCTAACTTTATAAGCTTTCAATCACCCTAAGAAAAGTTGACCTGCCTACTGACAAGCAGCCCTAGTATGATCATTTACGAACTCACAGGGCTTCCAAATCTCCCTCTGCCCTCATGAACCAAATCAGCAGATCCATGAAAGCAGGGAGACCCACACTTCACTAAGGAAGCTGCCGCTCTGCTGTAGATCCCTGCTACACATCTTGAACACAAACAAAAATCTGGGTTTTTATGTGAACTGTTCTTCTCATTTTTAGACTGCTAAGAAGACCAAACCAAACATCTAAGCTTTAAATTGCAACTTTGCTTTAATATACCAAGGGGGTAATTCCAGGATGTGTGACAGTCAGCAGGAGAATAAGTCTCATAACCTAGTGTCTCAGTTAGGGTTTTACTGCTGTGAACAGATACCATGACCAAGGCAACTCTTCTAAGGACAACATTTAATTGGGGCTGGCTTACAGGTTCAGAGGTAAGATCCATTACCATCAAGGTGGAAGTATGGCAGCATCCAGGCAGGCATGCTACAAGAGTGGCTGAGAGTTCTACATCTTCATCTAAAGGCTGCTGGGAGAAGACTGGCTTCCAGGCAGCTGAGATGAGGGTCTTAAAGCCCACACCCACAGTGACACACCTACTCCAACCAGGCCACACATACTCCAATAGGGCCACACCTTCTAATAGTGCCACTCCCTGGGCCAAGCATATATAAACCGTCACACCCAGAGAAGCAAGAAGTCCTTTGCTGTGTGACAGATTTTTCCTGAGGCAAAGGTCTACTAGTGTCAGAAAAGGAACCCAGGATAGACCAAAGTACAATTTTGTGACCCAATAAAAATTTTAATAAAGTTATTAACAGAAATACAGGAGAAATTGCTTTAAAGGAGCAAGGCTAACTCAGAAGCAGATGCTTTCTGCATCACCAGAAAGCCCACACTGACAACCCTGGTATTTCCTCCACAGCTTGGAGGCAGCTCCACAGTTCCAGGGTCTTCCTGCAGTGTGGCTGGTTCTTGTCCACCCACACATATCATCCCTGTAGTGCCTACTCCCTTGTACACTTGCAAGGGTCCCCAAGAACATTTTAAGCTTTCATACTTCCTGGATGTGTGACCTTTTGTTTGCCTCCTGCCTACCACACCTGCCCCATCATAGGCAAATGCTGCAACGTGGAGGGAAAGGTATAATCTGGAAGAACATGCCATTTAATGTTCTTCAAAATCCAGACAGGGCTAGTAGTGTTCATGCTGATGACTCAGGAGATAGGAAAAGCTTCTTTTTCTGGATTTCATTATCAAAGATCGGGTTCATCCAACAACAAAGCTGCTGCAGGAAGCTGACATGGTTTCCTCCATAATAAAGGACCAAAACATAGAAAACAATAGCTTTTGCACTAGTATTGGAAGCACAGCACTTGGGTGTTGTTAGTATTCTGTCTAAACTCCACCTCCACAGTTACCTGGCAACAGCAACAACCAAGTAGGCCTGCCTACTATAAAAGGAGCTGCTTGCCCCCTCCTCTCTCTCTTG